GCTCACATTAATGTTATAGTGTTCTTGTATTAGTATCGTATGTTCTCTCTGTCTTAGTGTATTGTATGTTCTCTTTGTGTAGTGTATAGTATGTTCCTCCCTGTTTCTCATTACAGTATGTTCTTTCTGTTTCTCGTTATAATATGTTTGAACTGACTCATGTATGAACTGACTCTTGTATGTTTCATTGTACTAGAAATAGTGAGTAGTAGTCCTCTAAACTATACCTATTATAGTTTACTAGTAATGTTGTTTACTAGTATCTTTGTACACCTTTGCTACCTAAAGGTGTTGAACTGATGTAAGAACTTTTATATTTTATACACATATACATAATATATAAATAAGATCCAAACGACACTCGGACAAACAACCGATACCCTAAGTCCACAACCAAACAAGGAACATGAAATAAAGTGAGTTATCAGTCCTAAGCCCTTTCAACCTTATTTATATAACTATATCTATATAGACATGATTTTGACAATATATAAGTTTAAAAGAGTTTGATAAAGAGTTTAGCATATAAAAGAGTTTTAACATAAAAATGAATTTTAACCATTTGAATGGTTACAGATGACTTGATGTCTTGAAATAGTTTGTTTGATAACACTGTTTTGAAGTATAAGAAATCCACTTGTTTGATAGTTATTAATCAAATGTGATTGATACAATAACTATAAGGTTTTCAACTTGTATCCCCCCCCCCCCGGTAAAAGCATTTAAAATCATTTAAAAGATAAGTTAAGGGGTATGAACTCACCTGATTGTGAGTAGTCTGGAAGGTAAGATAGATATAGGATGCTTGAGTTCACAACTGAAGTTCCGAAGCACAGATGGATCCTATAAGGCATATATTCACATATATGTGTATTCAATTAGTGGTTATAACTCCTAACTAGTATAGGAAACCACCTAAGATTGTAGGAAACACCCTAAATGAAGTGTTAGGCTCACTAATGGAAGCTTGGAAGGGGTTTCACGGCCACCCAAGGATGGGTTTGCGGCCTTATAGAGTTCACGGCCTCATGAGGTTCACAGCCTCATGTGGTGTTCACGGCCCAATGAACCTAAGAAGGGTTCACGACCCTTATGAATCTATGAAGGGTTCACGGCCCTTATGAAGGGTTCACGGTCGTGATCCCTTCAAGTTCATGAAGGTGGTGATGAATCATGAGAAATCAAGGCTAGGATCTAGTAACCTTTCAAGTGTAACAAGTTTAAGGTTGAAACACTTACGTTTTTGAAGCTTTTGAGGGTTCACGGTCGAAGCTTTTTGAGAGAGAATGGGGTGTTCACGGTTGAGAGGAGGAGAAGTGAGGAGAAAAAGAGGTCACTCATATATATAGGAGGTGGTTCACGGCCGTGAACCTAGTTTGCGGCCGTGAACACCTTATGAGTGGTTTTCTGGTTCGAATTTATCCTCCCGATCTCAAGCTAACTCATCCTAGCATCCATTCATACATTACACTAGGCTCAGAAACTCTCAAACAGATCCTTAACAGTGTTAAAAGATAGCAGAAACTAGTCTGACTTTGATTGAATTGTATGACTGTACAAGATAGAAATTTCGGGTTGTCACACCCAGCGTAGAGGGCTGGTACGCGCAACGTACGCGCTGTTGTTGACTTTTAGTTGACTTTTAGGGTTTGGTCAGTTTGTGGACTATTAAGGCCATGTAAGGGTAAAATGGTCTTTTATCCTTCTGTGAGTTTATAGAAGGGTTTAGTCTAGCTTCTTTGAGAGCCGTTATTAATTAGAGATAATTATCGTATGTGTTAGGCGGGGGCTAGACCGGTGATTTGAGTTCGAGGTTATCCGATTTCTTACGAGGTGAGTCTTCTCACTATACTTATCTAGAGTGGTAACTTTGTGTGTGACCGGAGGGTCTTATGTGTTTATATTGAGTATTGTGATATCCTGCATTATGTCTTTGTGATTTATGTTGTGTAGTGTTCTGAGCTTACTAAGTTAGGACTGGAGGGTCCACCCGAGTTGTCGGACCGGAGGGTTCCACTAAGACACATTGACCGGAGGGTCTTATTTGAGTATAGCCATGAGAGGCTAATGAGTTATGTGTGGTATTTTGGGGAACTCACTAAATTTCGTGCTTACCGTGTTATGTGTTATGTGTTTCAGGTACTTCTCAGGATCACGGGAAGGCGCCGACTTGATTGTACACACGAGGCGGAGTTACATTTCTTGGATCCTGGATTGTGTTCAAAACATTTTCTGAATATGTGTTTTTGAAAACATTGTCATTTGGGGTTTTGTGAACTATGTTATGAGAATATGTGATTTTTAAAATGAAAAATTTGTTTGAAAATTAACGGTGTTACAAAATCTTCAAATTTAAAGTTAAATTTCTTGAAAAAATAGGAAGAAGTTTTCATTCGTTAGGGTTAACAAATCAAACACGAAACTGAATCTTGCTCTTTATTAATGTGAAGAACTACAGAAAGGATGTAGGCTAATACCTCAACTCACAAATGAAGAATATGACAAAGTTTTAAGATAGAAGATGTGGTGGGAGCTGGAAAGGGTTTAGGAACAATCGTAAGCAAATCGATGGATCCTTGGCGGTGGCGATATGCATAGGAAAGTTCCGTCTGTAAGCAACCGATTGGAGCGAATGGCGATTGGATTTAAAAGCACGACAACTCCAAAATTTTAGCCACGGTGCAAAGGGGAACAGAGAAGACGTAGAGAAAAACAAAGACGATGGAGAACACATTCCCAACAACCGATAGAACATAAGATAAGAATCGGGAAGAGAGCTCCACTTTTAGCATGCGCCCCTTGAAGCCGATAGGATTAGCTACGCCGATGAACAATACTTGACTGGGGTACTGTTCATAAGGGGAACACACTTTTAATATATATATATATATATATATATATATATATATATATATATATATATTTGAAATACGTCATGATTAATTACATCCATTTTTCATGTAATTTAATGCGTGTACTTTACACACTGGATGGCAACCATGGATATCTACAAATGAAGTAATGATATCGTGTTGGTAGTCTATAACGCCTAAACATGTGTAGGTCCTTGCAAACATTTCACATAGTCCGTGTGTGATGGTTCACATGTAACCTAGCTTGATGGCATATGACAATGACGTCTTTATGTATAATATGTTTTATGATGTTTATATGTATGCTTCTCTAAGCATATTTTTCCATTAGGTTTACCTTAGGAAGTCCTTTAAAGGAGAGAGGTGGGAGACAATAAGAAAAAAGACAAAAGATTAGATGAGGTGAGATTTGGGATTTTAATTCGATATCACGAATCATATTTTTACACAGTTTGTCCCTTATGATGTTTATTGAAATTTATGAATTTATATTAGTGTATTAGATTTATGCAACTTTTATGATTTTAAATATGTTTATGATAAAGCATGGGATTGTTTTATTTGTATATAAATATGTGTGCATTTATATACCATATTTACAATGTCTAATCATACCATTACTTATAAGGATTTTCAAGTCTAAACTCGTACTTTAATTTGTGCTCATGTTAGTAGTAGACGGTGTGATCATTTAGAGATCGATGCCCATGAGTACTTTTAGAAGACTTTTTGACAACATGTTTCAAATAGTTTACATTGTGTTCTTGAAATTTTATTTTAGGGAACGAAAGGGGATGGGAAGATATGAGAGGAAATGGAAGAAAATAACAAGTAATAATTTGTGTTCTCGAGTTATAGTGGAATTGAAGGGTAGGGAAGGGAATTTGACCATTATACCTTTACAGAGTAGTGCTGGAGAAAGACATGTTTAATTGTTGAAGAAGTGAAGGGTAATTTGGTCTATCTATGCTTCTTATCAACATGGTGTTAAAGTCTTTACATTGTCTCGTGTATTATTTTTATTCCCTCATATAAACTTTTTAACAATATATTTTCGATTTGTTAAAAAAGTTTGAAATTGGAATACTCTTTTGCAATTTATTTATTTAAATGGTTCTAAAACTAATTTTAAAATTGTTTCTAAATGATTATTTGAAACTATTTTCATATCTTATATCCTAAAAGTTGAAGTGAATAGATCCGAAGTTATTTTTCATTCTCAAATTGAACATTACCATTGCAAAAATAATAATAATAATAATAATAATAAATTAAAAATGGACAAGTTAATAACTCGAAAACATGACGTGAATACGAGACTAGAGATGTCAACAGATATATAAAAGTGTATTAATGGATACTCATCAAATAAAAATTATAAGAGAAGGAGTTTGAAAGAGACATGACAATTTGTTGAGCACCATACTCAACTTATAATATGCGTTCACTCAAATTCATTAATTTTGCGAGTATTCACCTGGCATGCGAGAATTGCAATTAATGAGATTTGTCATACTTGCGAATTTAATTGCATGACATGCATAGTATTAGTATAAAATAATTTTTGTCATAAATGAATATACACTAAATCTATAAGTCCTCTTTTATGAATTTGGTAATCATGTTGTGATAGTTTTTTGGAAAAAAAAAAACGATCATTTTCTTTTATGAGGTTTCAATATATGATATTTTGGTAAATTACTCGTTAAGGTTAGGGGGAGTGGTATAAACTATAAAGAGAAACTTCAAGAAAGTGTCGAGCTCCATAAAACCTTTACATTCCATCAGTCAAAATAAATAAATAAATGAGATAATACTTTTTTATTTTCATAATTCAAAATAAAAAGTAAATTTATAAATTTCATAAAAAACTTTCCTTTCTTTTCAAAAAAACAATATAAAAATGGTAATGGTAGATGAACATGCTTCATCCCCATTACTAAAAGAGGGATATTATTCTCCGCATTTATAAAGTAATTAAGTTGACGCTCTCCCACTGCATGTGGCTTTTCGTCTTTCTCAGACACATCACGAGCTTAAATCCTCAATCCAATTCATCTCTTTCTGAATCTGCAACTCTTTCATCTACCATTCTGATTCTGCTAATCTGTTGATCACACAATATATATGGCTCTCGAAACATGGCTAATCAAAGTCAAAAAAACCATATCACAAAGCTTCGATTCAGTTCGTGCTACCCCACCACCCAAAACTCCGGTAATCAAGAGATCAAGAGTCGGCGTTTTAGCATTTGAGATCGCCGGAATCATGCCGAAGCTCACCCACATGTGGCGGTTTCTCTCCGACGAAAACATCGCTCATCTTCACAACGAATCCATATGCCTAGAAGGTGTTCGAAAAATTGTCTCAGACGACGATACTTTTCTTCTCCGCTTAGCCTGTGCAGAGATCGTTGAGAATCTCAGAGTTCTCGCGAAATCCGTCTCCCGGATAAGCAAAAGGTGCGACGACCCCATTCTCAGAAGCTTCGAAACCCTGTTTGATGAGTTTGCGAACTCGGATCACGATCCTTATAATTGGACTCTAAACTCGAAAGAAATGGAAGCTAAGATTAAGAAGATGGAGAGATACGTAACAGCTACAGCTATACTTTACAGAGAGATCGATAATCTAACTGTCATCGAGAATAATTTGAAGAAATCATTGACAAACAGTAAAAAGGATAATCATGAACAGGTGTCTTCAAAGCAACAGAAGATTCTCGATCTACAACAAAAGCTTCTATGGCAACGACAAGAGATCAAGTACGTAAAAGAGAAATCTCTATGGAACAGAAGTTTCGATTCAGTAACTTCATTACTTGCCACATCAATCTTCACAATTCTTTCACGAATCAAATTTCTCTTCCAAATCACCTCCCACTCATCTGATCAAATCTCGAATTCTTCTTTTTTTGAAACAAACACAAAGATCTTAAAACCATCATCGAACACATTAGGATCTGCTGCTTTAGCATTACATTATGCGAATTTGATTGTTGTGATGGAGAAGATGATTAGGTCACCTCAATTAGTCGGATTTGATGCAAGAGATGATTTGTATTCAATGTTACCTAATAGCATACGATTGTTATTAAGGAATCGATTGAAAGGAATTGGGTTTACAGCAAGCGATCCAGTTCTTGCAGGTGAATGGAGAGAAGCTTTAGGGAAGATATTGGGGTGGTTGTCGCCATTAGCGCATAACATGATCAAATGGCAAAGTGAAAGAAGCTTTGAACGTCAGAATTTGATGCCAAAAACGAATGTTCTTCTTCTTCAAACGTTGTATTTTGCTAATCAAGAGAAAACGGAAGCTGCAATTACTGAACTTTTGGTTGGATTGAATTATATTTGGAGATTTGAAAGAGAGATGAATGCGAAGGTGTTGTTTAATTGTACAAATTTCAATTCGTTCAAGAATCAAGAGGATACAAGTTAAGTATACCCTTTTTTCTTTTTTTCTTTTTTTTTTTGCCCTTTATGTTTACTTTTGTAGATTAGTGCAAACTACAAAGATCTGTTTTTGATCTGTTAAATGTACTACTAATGTTTTTAAATGATATATGATTGAGTCAATTTTACGTAAAGTAATCAAATTGAATTGATAAAATTTATGGATGATGTTGCTGTACATGTATAGATAAAATATAGTCGACCCCATTTATTATTATTATTTTTATATTATTATTATTTTTATTGTTATTAAGAGCTAATGACTTAGAAGGGTAATTATATTTGCTAGATAGAACCGTTTTCAATTTTTAAGATTTTGTAATATAATATAGGTAATCTTGGTATTTTCCCATCAAAAAATATTTCAATAAATCATTCGCATATATACATCAACACAAGACAAGGGCCGGCTATACAAGGCGAAAATATAAATATGGGCTAACCTAAAAAATACAATACAATATAAACTAGTTAACAACCTCTACAGATGGAACCAGACTAGCTTCACGAACATTCAAACTGTACCGAAAATCCAAAAACAGAGTCGAAGGGAGAATCTTAGTGAGAAATGTCAACGTATTGGTCCTTAGGCTATCCTAATGGGGATTTAATGGTGAGTTCAATGAGCAAAAGGTTGATGAGGTGGAGGTCAATACACTAAACCTATCATTGTTGGTCGAGATTAATGGATTGGGGTTTAATACTCATTGAACGGTGGTATGGTAATTTTTTTTACCCAATTCCCGAATGAAATATTGTATTTAAACAATTAGATGGTCTACACATGCATAAAGGTATACCGTATATGTCATTATTTTTTGATTCATATTATATTTATAGCTTTTTTTTATTTTATATGCAATAATCTAGTTTATTAAATGAATTTATATTATAATATTCTAAACAATAAAAAATATTCAAATCTTAAATATACTTTAATCCTAAGACATACGACAATCTTTAATTAATAATTTGTAATTTGTATCTTTTAATTTCTAATTAATGTAATATTTTAGTTTTACGTATTAATATTATTTATAAAAAAATATAATAAAATGTTGATGTGACAATCCATTAAACTTTTAAGAATTTAATGGAATGCATAATTTAATGGGTTAAATGGTATATAGTTTGTGGAATGCTAATGTAGCAATCCATTAAATTCTAAAGAATGCAATGCATTGGAGATTGCATCAGAAGGTACATGAAGAACATGAACTTAACCCACTTTACTTCCTAATGTCATATTTTTATTACTTTTCATTTACTTTTATTTTTATTTTTTAAAATATGGGATGGCCGGGTGAAAGTGGACATTTTCATTGTTTATATATATATATATATATATATATATATATATAGATATATATATATATATATATATATATATATATATATATATATATATATATATATACTAGACAAGTATTAAGGCCGTCCTAAGGCCCAGAATCATCATAGATTCATGGAGTCGTTATGGATTATGAAGGTGACATTTGGATAATCGAAGTTGCCATTGTTAATGTTGCTTGAATATATAAAAGTGTGTTGTTTAGGACATTATCATAGTTATAAAAAGGGCCAATAATGTGATGATGTGTCGGTATATATATATATATATATATATATATATATATATATATATATATATATATATATATATATATATATATTGTCAAATGGTAAATGAAGAAAAATAAAGTATCAGAGAACAAAATAATAGAGAATATAAGATAACGAGATATTAGCTTATGTAGAAAAGAAATATGGTTACTCTCATGAAAAATGTCAGTAATTCATATATATCAAGAATGACAGTGCACGTATTCTTAGTTTCATCCGCAACCTTCATATAATATGATTTCATATATACATTAAGAGTATCCCCTTCATAAAATCGACCCTCTTCCCATTATCAGTAACACTTCTGTATTATGCAGTTAATAAACAAATTACATTGCTTATGAGACATAAAGATAATTTAATATTTTCAAATTTTAAATATGTATGAATAAAGTTTGGTAGTGGTTGTAAAAAGCCCCTTATTTCATACAAAGGGAGAGCGTAGGAGATAGGGTGAGAAAGTTGGAAGCGGTGGAATAGGGGAACCGATGGAGAAAGATAATCGAAAAGAGAAAGAATTGATTGAGAGTGGTGGTAAAAACGTGGCAATATTGTGGAGGGAGATCAAACAGTTATAAGTGAGTCATCCATGTAACTGACAAAATAAACGACAAAAATCAGAAATTGAGATAACAAGGTATGATCGATGTTCCATGCGGTAAAAGAACCAAAATGAGAAAAAAAAAACTATTAAAGTTAACGAGCCTTATAACAATATATTATATTAACAAATATTAAAAATTGAAATTATGCCTTAGCCCGGAGGTAAGCCGATGCCTCCTTTCTTTGAGGTCACAAATTTGAAGCTATATAACCAGTTATTCTACTTTTAACAAATTTGTAAGACTATTGTTATAATGCACACAGAAAAAGTTAATTGGTAAATCTGTAGGGATGAGCAACAGGCCGTCTCCGGACCAAACCGACTCAAAGACTGAAAATCGTGATTTACCTTACCTGAAAATCGGACCGGTTTAGGGTGTATTGGATCCGGTTTCGGCCGGGTTTCAGATACCAAACCGGGTTTCGGGTTTTAGACCGAATTAGACTTTGACAGTATTGTTTACGGTTTCAGTCCAATTCCGAGTACCAAAAACATAAGGACCAATTGCGAGAATTTAAAAATACATATACACCATCTTCAAAAAAAAAGTTGGAGACTAAATATGACTTTTTATAAAACGCTGAATATTATTTATCTAATTTGGTTTTATAAAAATTAATACTTATGGTAAATTACAAGTTTGGCCAGTGTGGTTTTTTGAAAACTGCACATGTTTAGTTTTAAAATTTGTTTCACAAAAATGTCAACGTGGTTTTAATATTTTGTCACAAAAATGTCAAAATTCAATGTACGTCGCTCAAAAAAGCTAATAACCTTTGGTTTTCCGGTCCGTTCCGAGTTCAAAACCTTATCTCGAGTCCGGTCTGGTCCAAACCGAAACCCAGTTATTGTAAAAAAACAAAACCCGAAAACCGGCTCAGTTATAAAAATATCTTATTCGGTCCAGTCCAACAGGTCATATGCTCAACCCTAAAATGTGTATAAAAAAAATGGAATAATGACTTAAAAAGGTAACGAATTTCCAAAAAATATCATTGTCTTTTTTTAGTACACAATATACCATTAAACCGACTATTGTAGGTAACCATCAGGTTACCCGGTTTCCAAAATGTTCAAAAAATATCATTGTTGTTTTTTTAGTACAAAAAATATTATTAAAATATATTATTTGTACACAGAGTACCAACGAAGTACACATGTGTTCAAATAAAACCTTGTGGTAATCATGTACTTTAGGTAAATGGAAAAATGACTTAAAAGTGTAACGAAATTTCCAAAATGTTCAAAAAATACCGCACTTTTTGTTAACTTTGTTGTTGTCGGATTATGTAGAACACAGTCACCGGAGATCATGCCGTCATATCAGTTCACAACAGTTGTGCAATCTCTTTCATTCTTTCACTCGATCGTTCTTGTGGTAGTATGTGAAGTAAGTAAGTAATAACATTAGTTAAACATTCTTGCTTCCCGATCGCATTATATGCCTCAAACCTAAAATATATATGTTATATAGATACACATATTATACATCAAGGTTAGCCATTTATTAGTATTGCGAGGAGAAACGAGTGTGACTTTATGTCATGAGAATTCCTAAATGTAGATGTAGAGAGTATGGGTTGCGTTTAATTCTCCGGGACCATTGAGAGATGAATGGTCATGAACACTCAACATCATGTGGCTGATTTGATGACAATTTATAGTCAAAGTAGAGAGAGAAGCATATGTGTTGGAGCGCTTGAACGACTTGCATCCTAATTGATGGATTCTTACTTACGTGTTTTTCTATGATTGTATTTAGATACAAACTGATTGAGTGAGTGAATGAAAGAGAGTCCACAACTGGTGTGAACTGGTACGACGGTGAATAATCTTCGATGATTGTATTCTACATAATCCGCAAACAACGAAGTTAACAAAAGATGTTCTGAAAAAACAACAATGGTATTTTTTTTAACATTTTTGTAACTTCAATGGTATTTTTGTACTAAAATGTGTACTTCGTTGGTATTCCGTGTACAAATCGTATACTTCAATGATATTTTTTGTACTATAAATTATAGTATTTTTTCTGAACATTTTGAAAACTTTGTTACATTTTTAAGTTATTTTTCCATTTACATGAGGTAGGCGGTTACCATAATGTTTTATTTGAAAACATGTATACTTCGTTGGTATTTTGTGTACAAAAAATATACTTTAATGGTATTTTGTATACTAAAAAAACAATGATCTTATATTTTTAAATTATTTTCCAACAAAAAAAATTAATGATAAAATACGTAAAAAAAAACATGATACCATGCTAACAACGACATGTCACATCGATTTGTGATTATGTATTTATCCGGATAGATATGTACAAATAAACTAATTAAGTGGTCTTTTTGACTTTTTGTCCAAAGGAGAAAGATTGTTTTTAATATGAATATACTAACAAAGTAACAAACATTAATACACAAAACAAAGATCATTTGTCTTTCTATTATACTAACAAAGTAATTTATGTGAACAAACTTATGGTTTTGTTGATACACAAAACAAAGATCATTTATCTTTCTATTATCCCTTAAAGAAAAAAAAAGATCTCTTTTTTTCTTCGAACATATTCCATTTACAAGAGAAAAAGAGGCAAATGAAAATATTTTATAAGATTTTATAAGGGTAAATGTCATAAAAGACATTAGATTTTTTTGACACTTCATTATTTTTTTTATTCAATTCAAACATAGTATTTTTCAATTTTGTTCAATAATCATGATATTCTCGATCATTGCCTTCATGTTACCCAATTACCG